TGCAGTCCCATGGAGCGTATCGCGCGTATCGCGGATTAGCGGATCGCCAATCACAGAATCGTTCTGTTAGATTTGCTTACAAAATTTGTAAACAGATCTAACAGAACGATTCTGTGATTGGCGATCCGCTAATCCGCGATACGCGCGATACGCTCCATGGGACTGCACCCTTATTAGAGGGTCACTAGTCTGCCTTAAAGTAATCCCTTCCTATTGCGCAATCTGTTGCGCATGAATGCGTGAGAGTAGGGGAAAGCGATGCCGAGTCCTTACGGAAGGAAAGGAATCCTCTCAACTTCTCAAGAACTTTCTTCACTCTCTTTAGTCTCTTTCCGGCTTCCGTACGATCAAGACCTGCTCAGCGACCGGCTCCGCCGTATCGTCCTCCTATTCATTATCTGGAGGCGTGAGCCATTAATTAAAGAAGCGACCGGCTCCAGGAGCGTCTCTGCCACGTAAGACCATGTGCTCATTTTTCAATTTTTAATCCCAATTCCAATTCTAATCCTAACTCCAACCCTTAAGGTCAACTTCACGTAATAGTCATAACTCCTTAGTAATTACTCGTGTGTGTAAGTCTGATAATTAGAATTCAGCTGTACCTCGATTGTGTAACCTTTAGTTCATAGAATTAAGAGTACGCCCTTCGAGCGATTTTATATAATAATTTTATTGAAAAAATCATTGCATAATAAATACACACTCATACATCTAACGGATAAATTCCTTCGCGTTTACGCTATCACATAATTTCCTAAAACGAGTGTCTCCGATTACACAGGTGCGACAAGGACATCAAACCAGGAAGGATGAACACAAGGGACCTAAGCTTGCAGCAACGTGTCGTCGCCCAAGGCCCTCCCCCACAAGGTAAGCAAATTTAATTAGGACTGAGCACAAGCACTGCCGTAACATTTTACGACATATACTTAAGTTGTAGACGTAAATAACGCACAAGCTTTGGCGATGTGTTTATGTACATTATTGCCATATCTTTCGATAGCGTGCATATAAACACATCATACGCCGATACGCCAAAGCTTGTGCGTTATTTACATCTACAACTTAAGTATGTTGTAAAATGTTACGGTAATGCTTGTGCTCAGACCCCCCTTAACCGTCATGCTGGATTCACACTGCATCCGATTTTTGTCGTACGACGACTCTGCAACCAATCAGGAAATAAAATTTTGCTTCGTATCGATGATACGATTTTTCTGATAGGTTGCAGAGTCGTCGTACGACGAAAATCGGATGCAGTGTGAATCCAGCATCAGTCTAAACCTTTGTATTATAAGGTCCAAACCACGTCGCCAAGCACCTTCGGCCACGTGCTGCACGGGCGACGCCATATTGTGGGG